AGCACGCCGCATACGTGGAGAAGGTGCTTCAGAATCCACTATGACGGGAAACATTTCATTCTCAAAAAAAAAAAAAAAATTCTCTTCTTCCTATTATTGGCAGTTCTGAACGTTATTTTTTTTTTCCCATCGGGTCAAAAGTACCTAAGTGTATGACTGCGAGTGCAAAAATTGGGGACAGAAATGAGGTATTGACAGTTTTTCCATTTTCATTCGGGTGTGAATTTTTAATATAAATGTGGAGGTGTAAAGCATTAATGCAAGTTCAAATGTTTCAGTGAACAAGCTTCAGCGGTTCAACTTCATAATCATTATGAATAAACCTGTTAATTTTTTTCTGGACAACGCCAGCATTTGGATTAAAAACAAAAACAAAAACAAAGAAAAACAGCCGGGTGCGGTGGCGCGGTCCTGTAGTCCCAGCTACTCCGGAGGCTGAGGTGGGAGGATCCCTTGAGCCCAGGAGTTCTGAGCTGTAGTCCGCTATGCCGATCGGGTGTCCGCACTAAGTTTGGCATCAACATGGTGACCTCCCGGGAGTGGGGGACCACCAGGATGCCTAAGGAGAGGTGAACCGGCCCAGGTCGGAAATGGAGCAGGTGAAACCTACCGTGCTAATCAGTAGTGGGATCTCGCCTGTGAATAGCCACTACACTCCAGCCTGGGCAACATAGCGAGACCCCATCTCTAACCAAAAAAAAAAAAAAAAAAAAGTAAATTTCTTATTGATGGCAACTAAATGGTGTTTGTAGCATTTTATCAGAGAGTAGATTTCATCCAGTCACTACACTTTTCTGAGTTGTCCTACATGCAAGAACACGTTTCTAATGTTGTCTGTCTTTTGTGCTGTTCCTTTAAGTTTGCTATTAAAATACATTAAACTATAAAAAAATACTGTGACATTTCAACTAGTTAACTATCAAGGGCAGGAATATAGTACTTCAGAAACTACTAATAGAGTGCTTTATCTTTTGATTGGCAGAGAGAAAGGCCACGATGAGAAAGGAAGGCTTGAGCTGAGAGCTGGCGAGGCGAAGACAGAAGCAGATTGCTTTCCACACGCAGGGAGTCACCGCTGCCTTACGATGCTTCCAGGTAAAGACTGTGGGTTAAACACCAAAATTTATTTTTGCATACTTCGAAAATCCCACTCAAACAACACTAAAATATACATCCAAATAGGGAGAGAAGAAAACAGAAACAAAATTTTGTAATCTGGAAAACTGATTTTGACAGCCCTGAGAAAGCTAAATCCTAAACCAGAAGTGGGAAAGGCAAAGAGAGGTAGATGGTCACCACCGAACCCCCATTTCTATCTCTTTTCCCTATGCCAGGCTCAGAAACTCAGTACAGCTTCATCTGGAAACTCCCCGTTTGAGCTGAATGTAGCCTTCCTCCAACCCCCTTAAATTCATATGTCGAAGCCCTAATCTCCAGGACTTCCGAAAGTGACAGTATTTCATCTGCAAAATGGAGAAATAGAATGAAATAATATTTATAAATAAATAAAAGGGAAAAAAGAATGGGGCAGCATTTGGAGAGTCATTAAAGGGGGTAATTAAGGTAAATGGAGATCACGAAGGTAGGGCCCTAATCATAACGGCCCGTGTCCCTATAAGAAGAGATTAGGACACGGACAACAGAGAAAAGATCATTTAAAGGCAGAGGGAGGAGACAGTCACAACAAGTGACTGTTTTGCTGCAAGTCAACAAAAGAAGCCTCAGGGGGGAAAAAAAAAATCAATCAGACAATCACCTTGATCTCGGACTTCTAGTTTCCAGCACTGTGAGAAAGTGATTTCTGTTGGCTCGGCCACCCCGTCTGTAGTATCTGTTCTAGGAGCACTAGTATCGAATACACTGTCCTTCCTCCATCCTGGAAGACTGGACGTTTATTTTCATTCATTCATTCCTTCATTTATTTGAGATGGAGTTTTGCTCTTGTTGTTCGGGCCGGAATGCAACGGGCGATCTGGGCGCACTGCAACCTCCACCTCCCGGGGTCAAGCGGTTCTCCTGCCTCAGTCTCCCTAGTAGCTGGGATTAGTAGAGAACAGGTTTCTCCATGTAGGTCAGGCTAGCCTTGGTTGCCCAAAGTGCTGGGATTACAGGCGTGAGCCACCGCCCCCGGCCTTATTTTCTTGAAAAAGCAAAATATCGGGTTTCTAGGGTTGAGGATTGATTCTCGAACTTTTCCCACATCACAATCGCCTGGAAGGGTATTTAAATCAGACTGGGCGGCTTGCGTCCCGTTTCTGATTCAGTAGGTGTGGGGTTTTCCTTTTTCTAGATTCTCTGATGCTGCCGACCCTGAGGCACTTCTTGAGAACCTCTGGGCTGGAGGAAATTAAGCCCTGGGGCTAGGGAAAACGGTGAGTTCCACAAATGTCAGCGGCTTGTTTGGGGTTATTGTTGTGAACTGATTGGTATGTGTGCACAATAGAGACCAGAGGGCCTGCGGATTCTGACTGAGGAGGGATTGTTTAGGGAAGAGATATTATTCATGTTAGGCTTTCGAAGCCCAGCGGGTTGAGGATGGAGCGGGTGTGCAGATAGGTCTGAGTGAAGCAAGGGCTGGCTAGGCCAGGTCCTGCGGGGCAGGGCGAGGCTGGGATTCTCTGGTGAAGAGGGAGAAGTCTAGTACATTTACAGAAAGTAGTGGTACAAACTTCATAACAGTTCTTATTACTGTTTCCCTGCAAATCTAAACCGAACACACAGACTGTTTTTCTCGAAAAAGAGAAATTCGGGAACTGGAAAGACTGGACCTGAGAAACAACTGTTTTTAATATATGGAACATTTAGTTGGGTTTGGAGATAATATTTGAGCCGGAAACTCCCTTATTTTTCCCAACAAAGCCTCAGCGAAACTGGGAAAAGAGATCAAGTCAAACAATAAATTGTTTGGGAGGGAGATAAGACTAGATTCTTACCTTACAAAGGAAAAAAAACCTCCGAGGCCTCGTGGCGCAACGGCAGCGCGTCTGACTCCAGATCAGAAGGTTGCGTGTTCAAATCACGTCGGGGTCAAGGGTAGTTGACTTTTAGTGATCTGTACCGAGACTTGTGCCGTCAGTCAAGCCGGATAAAGAACTCAAGAGCTTGACGGCAGCGGTTAAGACAGGAAGGACACCTTCTGTTACCTGCATTCATCATCTCTTTTGCCCTCGGCTTGCTGTTAGGACTCTGAAATGAAGAATTCCCCTCGTGGACAGTCTCTCTTTGGCCCCTCTTTAAAGTGAAATTAAACGCTCTCCTCTGGCATCAGATACCTTTTTCTCCAGGCAAACCCCTAAACGTTGGCGCTTTTTCCATGCTTATCCCCTGACCTCTTTGCTTCATGACTCTTCCTTCGCTTCTCTGCCTGCAACACGTCATGCCTTCTTCTCAGCTTCGACCCCACTCCACCTGGAGTCAGGAACTTGGAACCATCCTGGACAACACCTCTTCTTCGCTTCTCAGTGGAATCCTAAGCTGTGCTGAGTTTTACCTCCTCGTGTATCATATCTCATCTCTCTACTTCTCTCCATTATTACAATGGCCTTTTTGCTTCCATCTTTTATCTCTCGCCAAGGATATTGACATGAATCTTTTGTTTTGTTTTTGTTTTAGTTTTGAGACAGAATCTCACTCTGCCGCCCAGGCTGTGGTGCACTGGCACGATCTTGGCTCACTTCAGCCTCCACCTCCCAGGTTCAAACAATCCTCCCACCTCAGCCTCCCAAGTAGCTGGGACTACAGGCATGCGCCACCATGCCTGGCTACTTTTTGTATTTTTAGTAGAGACGGGGTTTCGCTATGTTGGCCAGACTGCTTTCGAACTCCTGGCCTCAGGTGAGCTGCCTGCCTCGGCCTCCCAAAGTGCTGGGATTATAGGCGTGAGCAACCACGCCTGCCAACTTGTCATTTATTTTTTATTTTCTTTAAACATGCAAGTATTTTCTATTTTACTGTATTCCTGGTATTGCACAGAAATTATTTTCTTGCTCCAGATTTCACGGTTAGTATTAGTATTAGTTTGCTGCAGTTGCCATAACAAATACCATAGACTGGGAGGCTTAAAATACAGAAATTCATTTGCTCACAGTGAAACCACATTGGCAGAATGATAAGTAATGACAGAAATCTGACATGACTGACTCCATCTGGCTTCTCACCTCACAGGCTAAATTGGTTTTTTGTTTATTCTAGTGCAGAGGCCAAGATAACTATAAGAGGAATTCAGTTTACAGTTAAACTTTGAGGCAAGGAAAATTGACCTCACCTTCTTTCGGGGAGATTGAAGCTGCAGTCACAAGAACAGGTAAGAATTATGGTAGGGTCGGCCGGGTGTGGTGGCTCACTCCTATAATCCCGGCACTTTGGGAGGCCGAGGTGGGGTGGATCACAAGGTCAAGAGATCGAGAGCATCCTGGTCAACCAGGTGAAACCTCATCTCTAGTAAAAATACAAAAATTAGCTGGGCATGGTGTTGGGCGCCTGTAGTCCCAGCTACTCGGGAGGCTGAGGCAGGAGAATTGCCTGAACCCAGGAGGCGGAGGTTGCGGTGAGCCGAGATCGCGCCATTTGCACTCCAGCCTGGGTAACAGGAGCGAAACTCCGTCTCCAAAAAAAAAAAGAAAAAGAATTATTGTAGGGTCCTGAACTTTGCTAAAGAGTATCATAAAGCAACAACCTGCCACTGCTTAGCTTGTTTTTCTGTAAGTTGCTTACTTCCCCCATACACTGAGTGGGGGAGTTGCAAGGTATATAACGTCCTGGCAGGCCGCAGTGGCTCACGGTTCTAATCCCTCCATTTTGAGAGGCCAAGGCAGGTGGATCACCTGAGGTCAGGGGTTCGAGACCAACCTGGCCAACATGATGGCACCCTGTTTCTACTAAAAATACAAAAAAAATGGCCAGGCGTGGTGGTGGGCGCCTGTAATCCCAGCTACTCGGGATGTCTCAAAAAGAAAAAAAAATTGATAACTTCCCCAGCTGTTCTTATACATAGCATCACTATCGTGAAACGTAAAGACTGGGTCAGCATGGTGGCTCACACCTGTAACCCCAGCACTTGAGGAGGCCGAGGCTGGTGGATGACCTGAGGTCAGGGGTTCGAGGCCAACCTGGCCAACATGATGAAACCCTGTCTCTACTAAAAATACAAAATGCAAAAATTAGCTGGGTGTGGTGGTGGGCGCCAGTAATCCTAGCTACCTAGGAGGCTGAGGCAGGAGTATTGCTTGAAGCTGGGAGGCGGAGGTCACAGTGAGCCAAGATCACACCACTGCACTCCAACCTGGGCAACAGGAATGAAACTCCTTTGTACAACAAACAAAAAACATTGGTATTTGAGATATTTCTCAGATTCAGCTTTTCAGCAGATCAAAAGATGCCACTTGATCTGAGATCCCTGAGCCGAGTACAGATATTTAATCCATACAGTATTGCAATAAAGAAGAGTAGAGCATGAACTGAACTCAAATTTGTGGCTCGATCTGTGGGCTCACTGCAATCTCCGACTCCCAGGTTCAAGCAATTCTCCTGTCTCAGGACTGGGACTACAGGTGCACGCCGCCACACCTGGCTAATTTTATTTTTGTATTTTAATAGAGATGAGGTTTTACTGTGTTGCCTAGGCTGATCAAGAACTCTTGAGCTCAGGCAATCTGCCCGCCTCGGCCTTCCAAAGTGCTGGGATTACAGGCATGACCCATCGCGCCCGGCGTGACTGGGCACTTTAAAGGGAGAATAAAGGAAAAGAAAAGAGGTGAGCAGGGCTCAGTGGAGTCAGGGAAGTGAAAAATTACAGAAATCAGAAAGAGGAGATTGGTTCATATGAACCCCATCTGGGTTTGCTAATTGGTGCTTACAGAAGTTGAGTTCCTACCTTCCCTCAGAAATGGGAGACCAGGGGCTCTATCTTCACTTGTTGTTTGGAGCCACAGTGCATTTTTTAGGCAGTCTTGAGTTTTCTCAGGCAGGCCTTTTAAGGGGGACTAGGGTCATCTTAGGGATGTGGTCTGGAGCTGTTAGAAACTATGTTACTGTCTTTAGTCTTTTAAGGTCAAGGTTGAGGCGAATGCACAGAGGAGCCTGGCTAGAGTTTGGTCAAGGAGAGAATCTTTTTCATTTGACACAGCAGAAATAGTGCGGCAGTCCAGGTCTCCCTAATGGCTGAACAAGCAGGCCTCCATTCTAACTCTATCAGCACTGAATGAGTGGTTTAGTTAAATATTAAAAGCTAAAAAAATTCAGTGCCCTGATACAAAGGCTGGAATATAACCAAAGCCCACCACGAGGACATCTTTAAATGCATGCACACTTACATGTAGACGTAAAGCTAACAAGGTGTATAAAGCCAGAAGTCCTGGAAAACTGTGATTTTGAGTTGGTCGGGCCATCATTTCCAGGCCTTCTCCCCGTACCCAGTTACAGAAATAAACTCCTGGCTGGGCTTGTGGCTCGTGCCTGTAATCCCTGCATTTTGGGAAGTCGAGGCAGTCAGATCACCTGAGGTCAGGAGTTCAAGACCAGCCTGGCCAACATGGTGAAACCCGTCTCTACTAAAAATACAAAAATTAGCCAGGCGTGATGGTATGCGCCTGTAATCTTGGAGTAACTGGGATTACATTACTCAGGATGCTGAGACACAAGAATCACTTGAACCCGGGAGGTGGAAGTTGCAGTGAGCGGAGATCACGCCACTGCACTCCAGCCTGGGCGACAGAGCAAGACTCAGTCTCAGGAGAGAAACAAAACAAAAAAGAAAAAGAAACTCCCTTCTTTCTAGTTCATTTACATCTCATTCTTGGGCCCCAAGAATAAGCAGCCTGACCCTCTGTTTGGTCGGAGAGCAATAGTAGCAGTATTATTCAGTTACAGAAGTGAAAAATAATAAACTCAGAAGACTAACAGGAGAGAATTGGCTAAATAAATTTATTATGTATAATAGAGCCTGGGTGACAGAGTGAGACTCTATCTCAAAAAAAAAAAAAAGAAAAAAGAAAAAGAAAAAAAGATAAAGGATTTTTGGGGTCTGGCACATCTGCCGGGGGGCTACCGACCTGTGGGAGTCCCCGAGACCGGCAACGTAGATGTCTCGTTCAACCTGAGGGAGAGAGTGCGCGGAAGTGAAAGAAAAAAGTAAAGCGGAGTCTGGAGGTCTGCGTAACTTATGGTCAAAACGCAGCAAGTTTATTCTTGTGGGTTACAGCTTTTATACCTTTTTTCTTGTTACATTTACTTTACCTCAGCAGAAAAGGGGTAAACAGAGGAAATAGAAACTCCATAAAAATAGTTATCAGGGGCTTGTGATAACCGCTCACAAAGTAGTTTAAGGGGGCTTGTGATAATAGTTTACAAAGCAGTTTATGTTTTTCAAAGATACCCAGTGCAAGCAAACAATGGCGCCCTTAAGGTGGCTTGTTAATCCTGTTTTCCATCAGGAGGTAGAACAAAGGCTTAGCTCCAGTGAAAATATGGGCAGGGGTCTCTTGTCCCTCTTAGGCATCTCAATTGTAGCAAGTTTATCGCTTACACAGAGACTGATGGGGACATGAAAGCAGACAGCACAATGTCCTCATAAACCGCAGACCTGGGCCGGGCGCGGTGGCTCAAGCCTGTAATCCCAGCACTTTGGGAGGCCGAGGCGGGTGGATCACAAGGTCAACAGATCGAGACCATCTTGGTCAACATGGTGAAACCCCGTCTCTACTAAAATTACAAAAAATTAGCTGGGCACGGTGGTGCGTGCCTGTAATCCCAGCTGCTCGGGAGGCTGAGGAAGGAGAATTGCCTGAACCCAGGAGGTGGAAATTGCGGTGAGCCGAGATCGCGCCATTGCACTCCAGCCTGGGTAACAAGAGCGAAACTCCGTCTCAAAAAAAAAAAAAAAAAAAAAAAAAAAAAATAAACCGCAGACCTTTGTATTCTGTTTTTGCCTCAGTGACTCAGCCCGAGACCTTTGTCTCAGCTCGACAGCCCTCGAGAGGCGGGAGTGCAGATAGGTCCAGCAGCCAAGATGGGGCGAGTTACGCTAACTGTCTCAAGCCATTGGCGCGAACACTGCACAAAGGATGAAATTTGCAAGGGTAAGCATATACTTGACCCAGATATAGTACCTTGATGTAAGTGGGATGGACTCTGACTGATAATGTGAGTGCCAAGAGTGGAGAATGTGGGATTTAGTGGGGAAATCACATACTATTTACACCAAAGCAGGATTCTGGACTATTAAGAGAGTTACCTATGATTTTAAAAAAGAGTGAGAGGACAGGGAAAAGAACCTATATACTGATCTACAGTCTAGGGGGATGTAGTTTTGTTTGTTTTCATGGATGACAGATAAAACTTAGATCACTCTGTATCGGGAAAGATGCATTGAATAGTTCAATTGTAATTGTTGGGATTGTGCAACCTGAAGCAGAGTAACATGTAGAAGTCACCTTTAAAAATAACCTTGGGCAATTGACCAGGTTGATCTTCAACTCCTGACCTCAAGGGATCCTCCTGCCTTGGCCTCCCAAAGTGCAGGGAGTGCCTGGTTTACTGTCTATATTAACATGAGTTTACTATTCCACTATTTTCATTAGCGTATCTTTACTATTCCCTCCCTCCCTCCCTTCCTCTCTCCCTTCCTTCCTCTTTGTCTTCCCCTCCCCTCCACTCCCCTCTCCCTTCCCCTCTCCCCCGCTCCCCTCCCCTCCTCTTCCTTTCTTTTTCCTTTGTCACCCAGGCTGGGTTTCATTTGATGGACCATCTCTGCTCACTGCAACCTCCTCCTCCCGGGTTCAATGATTCTCCTGCCTCGGCCTCTGGAGTAACTGGGATTATAGGCACGTGCCACCATGCCAGGCTCATTTTTGTAATTTTTTTTTTTTTTTGAGTCTCACTCCATCACTAGGTGCCAGGCTGGAGTGCAATGGCGCGATCTCGGCTCACCGCAACCTCCGCCTCCTGGGTTCAGGCAATTCTCCTGCCTCAGCCTCCTGAGTAGCTGGGATTACAGGTGCACACCACCATGCCCAGCTAATTTTTTTGTATTTTTAGTAGAGACAGGGTTTCACCATGTTGGCCAGGATGGTTGTGATCCCTTGACCTCGTGATCTGCCCCCCTCGGCCTCCCAAAGTGCTGGGATTACAGGCGTGAGCCACCACGACGGGCCATTTTTGTGTTTTTAATAGAGACAGGGTTTCACCATTTTGGCCAGGGTCGAACTCCTGACCTCAAGCTATCCACCTGCCTTGGCCTTCCAAAATGCCGGGTTTACAGGCGTGAGTGTCTTTTTCACTTTGAAAGTCTCCACGGGTCTCCTATCAGCAGACTTTCTGCTTACTTCTACGTTCAAACGTTCAGAGAATTCGTTTGTTTGTTTTGAGACAGGGTCTCTGTCGCCAGGCTGCAGTGCAGTGGCTCGATCTCGGCTCATTGCAACTTCTGCCTCCCAGGTTCAAGTGATTCTCATGACTCAGCCTTCCCAATAGCTGGGATGACAGGCGTACGTCACCACGCCCGGCTAATTTTTGTATTTTTAGTAGAGCTGGGGTTTCATCACGTTGGCCAGGCTGGTCTCGAACTTCTGACGTCAAGTGATCAGCTCCCCTCGGCCTCCCGAAGTGCTGGGATTCCAGGCGTGAGCCACCGCAATATTTTTACTTATTTACTTATTTCTATGTTCAAACGTTTACTCAGAATATTTAGACATAATATTTGATTGGATTAGAAAACATTATAGACAGAGAACATACATTCTCACCTTTTTTACTTATTAAGGACGATATGATGGTAGATCTGAAAAACGAAACAAATCGTCTTTAGCAGCGTCTGGTAATGGTGGTTCTTTCCTGCCGCGCGGAAGACTTAAGATCGGTTCTTGCACAAGGCGGCTGACGTTTTTATACAGAACATTTTCGACGAGAATTGCAAGTAAACAATGTTTGGAAATAATAATGACTCCCTCCAGTAACCAGGAATGGCTGAAATTTACACAGGGATTTATAACTTCACCTGTATAAATTACGCCCATTAGCCTGCGCCTGGTTTTCCAATAACTGGAAACACACTCCCGTCTGAACTCGAGCGAGCTTCAACTTCAGCTGATTGGAATTTTTCGAGGGAGATTTCTAAACCTCTGGTGTTTGAAAGTGGCGTGCAGCCCGATATGGATGGTCAGTGTGCACTTTTCATTCTTTGGGAGAATTTGGCAAACAACGAACCATTTAGAATTAGGAAGATGCCAAAACATTGTAGCCTGTAATATATCCTTGACAGGGGATTTGCTTGTGCCAGCAGAGTGGCGCAGCGGAAGCGTGCTGGGCCCATAACCCAGAGGTCGATGGATCGAAACCATCCTCTGCTAGGCGTGTTTGTACATTTTAGTTGAAGACTAAGTAAGTAAAAGAATAAGATCTTCTCCAAAGAAAACGGGGCTGGTGGGCTGGTGGGCTGGTGGGCTGGTGGGCTGGTGGGCTGGTGGGCTGGTGGGCGGGGTGGAGGTTTAAACAAGGCGAACTACACGTTAGCGGACCTAACCCGTTTTAGGACCCCACAAGGTCTCCAGGTGGAAATGCAAATTTACAGTCTACCGTAACTGTTAAATCCTACTAATTGGTTGTGGAGGGGCTCTCAGTGTCTGAGATGCGGAGACTACTTAGGAGTTGGCGTGCCCTCCGTAGTAAGTCTTTCCTACTTTCTACATCAGTCAGCTCTTCCAGTTTGCAGTATCTCTTTAAGCCAATATCTAAATCTTCAAAAATTTTATTTTGTTTTTTAACCAGGATGAGAGACGTTCCAGACTGTTGTTACGTTGTCAAAATGAATGAATTTAAAGATAGCTGTAAAAAAAACCACATTTATTCCTCATGGGAATATATCCAGAGTATAGGAGGCACGTAGTCGTGGCCGAGTGGTTAAGGCGATGGACTTGAAATCCATTGGGGTTTCCCCGCGCAGGTTCGAATCCTGCCGACTACGATGGGCTAACTCCTTTTTGGGTAGAGGAAATCCGGTGCACTGCCTGTGCAATCACACAGAATTAACACGGAGTAGTGCCTTTTATTTTTCTGCTATTATCTTTCTCCATAAAAGTGGAAGCAGGTAGTTTTAGTCCTTTTGTGTATCAAGGCATAGAGAAAAAAATTTGAGGTGTTACATGGGAAAGCACTTGAAAATACTAGTAACTTCTGACACTGGTATAAAAATGATGGAAAAACGGTGAAGCTGTTTGCCTTTAAGTCTTCTTGAAATGCTGTCTTCCTATCTGAAATCCAGCTCATGTCTGACTTCCCAAATCCTGCTTGCCTTTAACTTATGGAATCAGTATTTCAAACAGATCCTTCCTTTCTGGTTCCCCTCCTATCATCCTACTTTCTGAGGCCAAAATTGCGGAGAGGAAACATCAGATGGAGAATATCCAAAACTGTTCCATAGATGTCTTAAGAGATTTCTAAATTTCGATATTTTCTTTTATAAATCCATAAGTAGAAAAACATATCATGACCAAAAAGTTCAGCAAAGGCACTGCTGTGACTAATCAAGGAAAAGTTCCTATTCATCATCTCTGTGGGAAAATCAGAACAAGATTTTGGAAAGGTGAGTTCTGTTCTTGCTTTCCACCTGCCAGAGCAGTTTTGCCGCTTTCTTGGAATCTGGCAATACGCACCTACGTTGAGACGCCAAAGTAAACGCTTACTCTCATTGGACCAATTCCACGAACTACGTTGACACTATCAAAAATCTGCCAGGAAAGCAGGCTGTCTTTGGCCCCATGGTGTAATGGTTAGCACTCTGGACTTTGAATCCAGTGATCCGAGTTCAAATCTCGGTGGGACCTACTGTTCTTTTAGTGTTCTTTCCTCCTCAACTCTTAAGTACCTTAACATCCCATCCCAGTCGGCAGCACGATGCTTCCCTGCAAAACAGCATCCTCTAATCTTTCACCTGAAATTTCACAACTGACCTCTCTTGCCCCTCCTCTCCTATTGGACATGAGTTCCCCAGATTTAGATTATCATACCAAGTTTAAGGATACATCTTCCACCTTTCAGACCTAAGTTCTTTCCTGTTTTGAATAGTACTCAAAAGGGTTCAAGTTTTATCAGTTTCTAAGATGGACTTGGTCCAGGTATGTTTGTAGTGCATGTGACTCTCTTGGAGCCTCTGCTATTCGGGATGCAGATAGCGTTAATTAAATAACTATTAATAGAATATTGCATCGAATATATGACATGCTCTGTAATCAATACTTACAGATATTCATGAAACTAACGTTTAGCATTCTGAACTTTGAATCTAGCGATATGAGTTCAAACCTTGGTGGCACCTGCTGCTTCGGTTTTGGTGACCCCGTTGTCCTTTGTGTTTCTCTTAAATAGTCAACATATCCTGGTCTGTGAATTTACCTTCTCTTTCGAGCTTTCTTCTCCCAATTTGCAAGTGTCATGTAACTCCTGATTCTCATTTCTGGCTTCTGAGTAGTATTAAGTCCTTGCACAATCTTGGTTTTTTTCTTTTCTTTTTTTGGGGGTGCTTTCTGGGAAAAACCCGAAAGCCTGCTAGACAAATTCTGAAAGAGCTGTTACAGTAATCTTGGTTTTCTTCTCTTAACACCCACTCTTCTCTGAGTTTCCAAATGCAGTCAGATGCTCTAGTTATTTGCGAGCTCAGGGTGCTTAATGGTTTAGGTGTCAGAGGCTCCTCAAAATGCAAGGATTTATATAAGAATTGTTTCAGCAACCACCTCGTGTAAGGATCTCACAGTGTATTGGTCACCACTCTGGATGAATCCAGGAATTTGAGTCCAAATCTCTTTGAGACTTTAGCAACATCTTGGTCAATTTTACTCCAATTTCTCCTAAATCATTAGCCCACCTTCGAGGTGTACCCACATGGCTGCAAGCACTGCCAGTTACCTCCCGCCAATCAGCATGGAGCCCTGCCCTGGAGAAAATTGTCTCTACCTACTGACCTCTGGAATTTTAGCCACAGTCCTCTTTTACTTGATGTTTCTTTTTGCCGTTTTGCCCAGAGTTTCTCAGATTCTGGTGAGTTAGAATCTTGGCCCCAGTGATTAAGAGTTTATATTTTACAGTCCCCAATCTGTTTCTTTCTTTTCCAGAGCCTGTTTAAAGCATTCCATCTGCTTCTAAGCAGTAACACTGTCCTTAAAATGTTTGGACTGCACAGTGGTACAGCTGTACACATCTTAGAGCCTCTACTGCTGTACTCAGCTGGGGCTCCATCCAAATTCCGTAAGCTAATGTGTTGTCCACATTATTTGAAAGATGAACCAGTATGTTCAAAGTACACATTAGTCTTTCAGTAGAGATTCAACTTCCATGTCCTGGTGGCTTAACGTCTAGCACCTAGGCTTCAAATCTCAAAGGACCTGTCTCAGTTTTGGTAACCTTGCTCTTGAGTTTGCCCGAATGGACAAGTGCACTCTGGCATGAACAGATACTGTCTCAGACGTGGATAGCGGCATGAACAGATACTCTCTCAGACGTGGGTAGCGGCATGAACAGATACTCTCTCAGACGTGGGTAGCGGCATGAGTAGATACTCTCTCAGACGTGGATAGCGGCATGAGTAGATACTCTCTCAGACGTGGGTAGCGGCATGAGTAGATACTCTCTCAGACGTGGATAGCGGCATGAGTAGATACTCTCTCAGACGTGGGTAGCGGCATGAACAGATACTCTCTCAGACGTGGATAGCGGCATGAACAGATACTCTCTCAGACGTGGATAGCGGCATGAACAGATACTCTCTCAGACGTGGATAGCGGCATGAACAGATACTCTCTCAGACGTGGGTAGCGGCATGAGTAGATACTGTCTCAGACGTGGGTAGCGGCATGAACAGATACTCTCTCAGACGTGGATAGCGGCATGAGTAGATACTCTCTCAGACGTGGATAGCGGCATGAGTAGATACTCTCTCAGACGTGGATAGCGGCATGAGTAGATACTCTCTCAGACGTGGATAGCGGCATGAGTAGATACTCTCTCAGACGTGGATAGCGGCATGAACAGATACTCTCTCAGACGTGGGTAGCGGCATGAACAGATACTCTCTCAGACGTGGGTAGCGGCATGAACAGATACTCTCTCAGACGTGGATAGCGGCATGAGTAGATACTCTCTCAGACGTGGATAGCGGCATGAGTAGATACTCTCTCAGACGTGGATAGCGGCATGAACAGATACTCTCTCAGACGTGGGTAGCGGCATGAACAGATACTCTCTCAGACGTGGGTAGCGGCATGAACAGATACTCTCTCAGACGTGGATAGCGGCATGAGTAGATACTCTCTCAGACGTGGATAGCGGCATGAGTAGATACTCTCTCAGACGTGGATAGCGGCATGAGTAGATACTCTCTCAGACGTGGATAGCGGCATGAGTAGATACTCTCTCAGACGTGGATAGCGGCATGAACAGATACTCTCTCAGACGTGGGTAGCGGCATGAACAGATACTCTCTCAGACGTGGGTAGCGGCATGAACAGATACTCTCTCAGACGTGGATAGCGGCATGAGTAGATACTCTCTCAGACGTGGATAGCGGCATGAACAGATACTCTCTCAGACGTGGATAGCGGCATGAACAGATACTGTCTCAGACGTGGATAGCGGCATGAACAGATACTGTCTCAGACGTGGGTAGCGGCATGAGTAGATACTCTCTCAGACGTGGGTAGCGGCATGAACAGATACTCTCTCAGACGTGGGTAGCGGCATGAACAGATACTCTCTCAGACGTGGGTAGCGGCATGAACAGATACTGTCTCAGACGTGGATAGCGGCATGAGTAGATACTGTCTCAGACGTGGATAGCGGCATGAACAGATACTCTCTCAGACGTGGGTAGCGGCATGAGTAGATACTCTCTCAGACGTGGATAGCGGCATGAACAGATACTCTCTCAGACGTGGATAGCGGCATGAGTAGATACTCTCTCAGACGTGGATAGCGGCATGAGTAGATACTCTCTCAGACGTGGATAGCGGCATGAACAGATACTCTCTCAGACGTGGGTAGCGGCATGAACAGATACTCTCTCAGACGTGGATAGCGGCATGAGTAGATACTCTCTCAGACGTGGGTAGCGGCATGAGTAGATACTGTCTCAGACGTGGGTAGCGGCATGAACAGATACTGTCTCAGACGTGGGTAGCGGCATGAACAGATACTGTCTCAGACGTGGGTAGCGGCATGAACAGATACTCTCTCAGACGTGGGTAGCGGCATGAGTAGATACTCTCTCAGACGTGGATAGCGGCATGAGTAGATACTCTCTCAGACGTGGATAGCGGCATGAACAGATACTGTCTCAGACGTGGGTAGCGGCATGAACAGATACTGTCTCAGACGTGGATAGCGGCATGAGTAGATACTCTCTCAGACGTGGATAGCGGCATGAACAGATACTGTCTCAGACGTGGGTAGCGGCATGAGTAGATACTCTCTCAGACGTGGGTAGCGGCATGAGTAGATACTGTCTCAGACGTGGATAGCGGCATGAGTAGATACTCTCTCAGACGTGGATAGCGGCATGAACAGATACTGTCTCAGACGTGGATAGCGGCATGAGTAGATACTCTCTCAGACGTGGATAGCGGCATGAACAGATACTGTCTCAGACGTGGATAGCGGCATGAGTAGATACTCTCTCAGACGTGGATAGCGGCATGAACAGATACTGTCTCAGACGTGGATAGCGGCATGAGTAGATACTCTCTCAGACGTGGATAGCGGCATGAACAGATACTGTCTCAGACGTGGGTAGCGGCATGAGTAGATACTCTCTCAGACGTGGGTAGCGGCATGAGTAGATACTCTCTCAGACGTGGATAGCGGCATGAACAGATACTGTCTCAGACGTGGATAGCGGCATGAGTAGATACTGTCTCAGACGTGGATAGCGGCATGAGTAGATACTCTCTCAGACGTGGGTAGCGGCATGAACAGATACTGTCTCAGACGTGGGTAGCGGCATGAACAGATACTCTCTCAGACGTGGGTAGCGGCATGAGTAGATACTGTCTCAGACGTGGATAGCGGCATGAGTAGATACTCTCTCAGACGTGGATAGCGGCATGAACAGATACTGTCTCAGACGTGGATAGCGGCATGAGTAGATACTCTCTCAGACGTGGGTAGCGGCATGAACAGATACTGTCTCAGACGTGGGTAGCGGCATGAACAGATACTCTCTCAGACGTGGGTAGCGGCATGAGTAGATACTGTCTCAGACGTGGATAGCGGCATGAGTAGATACTCTCTCAGACGTGGATAGCGGCATGAACAGATACTGTCTCAGACGTGGGTAGCGGCATGAGTAGATACTCTCTCAGACGTGGGTAGCGGCATGAACAGATACTGTCTCAGACGTGGGTAGCGGCATGAACAGATACTCTCTCAGACGTGGGTAGCGGCATGAGTAGATACTCTCTCAGACGTGGATAGCGGCATGAGTAGATACTCTCTCAGACGTGGGTAGCGGCATGAACAGATACTCTCTCAGACGTGGGTAGCGGCATGAACAGATACTCTCTCAGACGTGGGTAGCGGCATGAACAGATACTCTCTCAGACGTGGATAGCGGCATGAACAGATACTGTCTCAGACGTGGGTAGCGGCATGAGTAGATACTCTCTCAGACGTGGGTAGCGGCATGAGTAGATACTGTCTCAGACGTGGATAGCGGCATGAGTAGATACTCTCTCAGACGTGGGTAGCGGCATGAACAGATACTCTCTCAGACGTGGGTAGCGGCATGAGTAGATACTCTCTCAGACGTGGATAGCGGCATGAGTAGATACTGTCTCAGACGTGGATAGCGGCATGAGTAGATACTGTCTCAGACGTGGATAGCGGCATGAGTAGATACTCTCTCAGACGTGGGTAGCGGCATGAGTAGATACTCTCTCAGACGTGGATAGCGGCATGAACAGATACTCTCTCAGACGTGGATAGCGGCATGAGTAGATACTGTCTCAGACGTGGATAGCGGCATGAACAGATACTCTCTCAGACGTGGGTAGCGGCATGAGTAGATACTCTCTCAGACGTGGATAGCGGCATGAGTAGATACTGTCTCAGACGTGGATAGCGGCATGAGTAGATACTGTCTCAGACGTGGATAGCGGCATGAGTAGATACTGTCTCAGACGTGGATAGCGGCATGAGTAGATACTCTCTCAGACGTGGGTAGCGGCATGAACAGATACTCTCTCAGACGTGGGTAGCGGCATGAACAGATACTCTCTCAGACGTGGATAGCGGCATGAGTAGATACTCTCTCAGACGTGGGTAGCGGCATGAACAGATACTGTCTCAGACGTGGGTAGCGGCATGAACAGATACTCTCTCAGACGTGGATAGCGGCATGAGTAGATACTCTCTCAGACGTGGGTAGCGGCATGAACAGATACTCTCTCAGACGTGGGTAGCGGCATGAGTAGATACTCTCTCAGACGTGGATAGCGGCATGAGTAGATACTGTCTCAGACGTGGATAGCGGCATGAGTAGATACTCTCTCAGACGTGGATAGCGGCATGAACAGATACTCTCTCAGACGT